TCGAGAACCACAAAAGCTAGGCGGCTGAAATTTTGGTATAGTGTTCCCCGCCAACGGGTGACGCGGAAAATTTAAATTCAGCCTTCTCGTAACTCGTACGGCCCCATGAAAGTTTCTTACGGGTAAATCAATATCTCAGGAACCACGGAGTCTAGGAAGCTGAAATTTTAGAGTAATGACCTCCTGTCCACGCTCAACCTTGCCTATTCAAATTCAGTGTCCCTTCGCTGTTGAGTATCACCTACGGCCTCGTGAGAATTTTGGCGGTTAAACTATTAACTCGGGAATCACGGAAAGATATCCAAGGTTTCGAATTCAGCTTTCATGCGCTGTTGCGTGAAATTTTTAACTATTTTCCAATTTTTGAACTTTTTTTGCATAGACAAAAATGCGAAGCAGTGAAAATCGTTAATAGGCAATCGTTCGATAGGCTGAATTGCACAAAACGCATGATCGCACCGGCTAGTATGGTGCGCGTTGCTATTTATTTATTTTTTTTGTTCGCTCTTCTACGGCTTCCGTTATTGCTCACAAACGACTAGCCCGCCTTTTGTATGTGTTACATATGCTGACACTTTTGCATCTGTTATAATTCGCCCTTCGGTTATCATCCTCACATCCAGCATACTTGCATCTGATAAAATATATGATATTTTTCAACTGCCTATTGCTAGATTTCTTGTTTCTTCTGCTGGTCTGTTTCCTTTTTAACGAATTTTTTGCATCTAGTGCTAGATCGGCGAAATTTTATAGCTCTGATAAAATTTCGAGTCCTTCTAGCCTGTTTTCATATGCTCCAACCTCATGTTTTCCACTCAGCCTTGCACGGGAATGATTTAGTTGTTCCTTAGGCAGTCATGGCATCCATTCAACTTACCTCCTCTGCTGCGCCGCGCTGTTCAAGCATTCTCTTCATATACCTTGATTTTTTTTATCTCTCGTCCGTGTTCTCTTCTCATTTTCGCCCCACTGTAATAAGGCTGGGCTTGGCAAGTGGCGTTGCTCATGCGCCAAAAATTATCGGTTTGAATGCACCAAGGGACCCAGTTAGAGCTCGCTGACTGCGATCGGTGGTTGGTGAATTGCGCTGAGGCGTACCGGGCACTCAAAACCGACCGTCAGCTTGCTCTGGCAGTGCTCGGAGCAGTTAATCACAGCAGCCGGGTGCTTGCTTTCATCACATGCTGCGT